TAGCAACCAGAAGCAATATTGACTTCTTAGTGCAGAACTCAAGAGTTTTACAGTTACAAGTGGCAAACACTTCTGCACTTGGATTAGCAGAGTATCCTCGTAAACTTTTCAACGTTTGTCTTAAGTTTTTATTTACATAAAATATGTTGGAAATTAGCGACAGCCGGTTCTTGCTTGTCGTGCAATTCCAACTCGATAAGACGTGCTTGTAAAGTCACAATTCCAAATAGTAATTTTACGATTTTACGACGTATACATCGTGGAAAAAGTTTTCTGTAAGTCTAATACGACCATTTTTCACAGTGTACCGAATATGACAAGTTGCCAATGTGGAGCCTGCCCTTCCGCCGCCGCTGCGGCCCCTGCTGCCGATAGCGACCGCGAGGCGAGCGGCCTGGACTGGACATTAGCAACTTGATGAGCCTCTTGCGAGGCTTTGGCAAGCAGACTTTGGCTCCCCGCGACATGTTTTCACCATGGTGTAGAGCAGCTGCCGCCATACATACCGTTCTTGCAATGGGGCTCCACCCTCAAAAATACCCGTCTGATTTTTATTTACAGCTCATATCAGTTTCTGTGAGTTTGTACAGCGAATTGCCTTCCCCTATATCAGGCAGCTTCTTCAGCTTAGCGGGGTTACTACATTACGGTTGCGCCTCTTTGGAAACTGTCGTCGCTTGTCCTTGAACAGTGTCAAATTTAGTAGCTGAACTAAATTTACTACAAGTGTCAATCGCCCGGCCGCTGAGCCTCTCCTTGCTCCACCACGTCCCAGCCTCGGTCCCAGCTGTGCCAGTGAACGTTGTTGCCTGTAAAGCTGCCATCGTGCGTGTTTGTTCGTCGCACCGCTCGAGGTTGAAAATTGGCAATCATATATTTTAGCCCTTGTCGATGGCCATCTCTTCACAGACGGGAGTGCAAGTGCAAAAAGAATCATCCATTGTAATTAGTGTGCTTCCCATTCAGTTTACCGAAAATTACACTATATCGTTACGTATCATTTTTGTTTGTCCCAGCCAGTCAAACGGAATTGCTTCTCGCGCGCCCTGCAGCCGTCCCCATTTTTGGTCCCTGTGGTCCTCCATAAAGTGGTGCAGGGGTGCAGGTGATAGTATTTTTTGGGGTCGCCGACTCCCTCCGCATAGCACAGCTTAGTCGCTCTTGATAAAAAATAAACCAGCGCTCCTAAGGGCACAATGCTCACGTAGCCTTGATCTCTGATCCCCCCATTTACATAGCTCTATCGGCTGCAGTCGGTTTTAAAGAGCAGGGCAGCGGGCACCCCTATGACAAGCGTAGTCCCCCCCTCCCTTTTCCCCTCTCCACACTCTCCTCCCCCTGCTGTGGCACCTGAAAGTAAAGTCCGTAGTCGTTACTGGTAGACGAATGTTCGAAACCCGGCTAGCTTACTTTAGGTATAAGTCATACATCTAGACTTAATTAGTGTCATTACTCTGCGGTTGCCTCAATGTGAGCAAAATTGTAAAGTTTTTGTAGCCGAATGTGATACGCCATTGGCTAGGGCAGGGCTTGCATTGTCGCCTGCACCTGTTAGCGCGGGGTTACAGCCCAGAGGCCGATAGGGCGACCCCTTTGACTGTTTATGGCCGTATAGGTCTCACATCCACCCTTGTGCACCTACTTTATGGCTGTCATCGGGACTGAATATGGCAGGCCATCTCCACTCGCTCTTCCGCCCACTCTAACTCCGTCGATCGACTGAACAGGCGGTGGTGGTTCGCCCAGTGCAACGGGCCTGTCCAAGAAAGAATTTTGTTTCAATAGGCCTTTCTGCTGTTCAACGTTTTATGTACTTAATTAATTTGTCTTTGGTATATTGACCAAAAGGGGTCAAAAAGGGACGAAGCTTTGGCTTTGCATCGGGCTTACTTTGCTCATAAGCCTTGTCTCGCACTTAGTAGTGCTGTAGATATCCCTGACTGCTGGCTTTACTGAGTTTGAACAAATGAATCATTTCAAAATTTAAACAGGCTTTGCCCCGTACATTGGAAATCTGTGCGTAGATGTCGCACACTTGCTGGTGCGTAAATTCCATTCGTACACTTGGACCAGTAAAGTTGTGAATTTTCCAGTATGATCGGTACACTTGTGCTCTCAGTATACGAATGGAAATTTACACACCCACAGGTGTGTGACTTTCACACACTTAGGTTTCCAGTGAGTTATAGTTATAAGTGTAAGTTTGAAGGAATGTTGACGTCCTGAAGGATTTTGGTTAAACATTTAAAACAATAACCACTTTGGGAAGCCGCAGCAGTAATCTACGTAAATACTTCGTTACTTTTGCG